AGGAAAATAAAATTTAGGTTTTCTCCTCGACCGAATTAGGTCGGGTTCAGGCCGTACTATTAGGCCCGTGCACTGCACACAACTAAGATTGTTTTAGAATAGACTCCACCTGATCCTCGGGCTCAGCTTGACAGACCCAGACCAGGCCAAACTGAGATTCAGACTGTGATAAAGGTGAAAACTTTAGTCCATTCGTCCCAAGGCAAGCTACACAATGACCTGCCATATTCCTTAATATTCATTTTGCAATGTCCATATTAATAAGACATAAGCTACCTGGATTCTTAGTATACCAGCTAGGAGACAAGGACACATGATTCAAGCGGGAGCTACGACTTCTAGGTCAGCCCTCCAGTAGATTTGAGAGATTCAAGTAGATGGCTAAGTAGGCAGGGAGATGCTCCCCGTAACTTTCGGGTCCTAGTTGACCCGTAAAAAGTGAAACTGGCTAAAGCTGCCAAAGCTACATCAGGTGGAGAGCGACAGTAGTCATTCCCCAATCCGGGAGGATTAAGCTCGTCACCAAAAGTTTGTGATAAGCTAAGCCGGTTGACGTTGTCGGGATAACCCCGAGTGGAATTGTGAGGTCCCCGACTTCGTTTCAATTGTTGAATAATAATGAGCTCTTTGTTAAAAAAAAAAAAAAAAAAGGACAAATTTGTTTGGCACCCCTGTATTTTCCATTAATTTGCATTGCACCACTCCGATAGTCGATTTACCCGCCCCTGGGCCTAAAATCTTTTTGGCAACCCCAGTCAGTAGTGGGCGCAACTTTCCAGGACGCCCTCCCTCAACTGGCGGTCCCATTCCATTGGGGTCTGCACCATATGCCCTCATAAGGGGCAACCATCTCCCCCTGCAGCAGTGGGGTGATTGAAATTTAAAGTCAATTTTAAACCCCCGTTGTTGTTGATGTACCTACGCGGAGAACTTGAAGTTGTCGGAGTGCAGTAGGACTGCAGAGAAGCTCAGGAACGCCTCCGCTCGTAAGGCCAACCTCTTGTCCCGCTGCTTGGAGTTTGTCGTATAGCATCGCAAGGTGAGTGTCACCCGCCCTCTTCGTTTTCATTCGTCGTTGTTCCTCTGCTCTTTATTCATGTCATTCTTTTCCCTGCGAGTTTGTTTGTGTGTGTGTGTGTATATGTGTGACACACACACACACACACACACGCACACACACACATACACACACACACACACACACACACACACACACACACAGAAAAAGAGAGAGAGAGAGAGAGAGAGAGGAGGTAAGTCTCCAACCTCACGGCTGACCTCATACTACTTCCTTCGAAAGGATGAGCAAGTCGAATGAATCTACCGCTAGAACATGAAAATATACACTGCCATAGTTGTTTGTGTCTGTGTGTATGTGTGTGTGTATGTGTGTGTGTGTATGT